AGCCAGAAATCAGGGTGTTGGCCAGGCTGGGTTCCATCTTAAGACTCCAGCCTAGAATCCTTGCCTGCTTCTTCCTCATTTCTTGTGGTAGCTGTCAATCTTTGTGACAGCTGTGTCACTCCAGTGTCTGACTCCATCTTTACTTGGTAATAATGTCTCTATGACTTCATGTTGTCTTATAAGGGCCCCAGCTGGTTGTAAATGGGGTCACATTCTGAGGTCCTGGAAACAGGGACTTAAATTTTTTTTTGTACCCAAATGAACCTGTAATGGGTGAGCTAGCAAAAGCAGGGTGTTGGAGGACTCCTTGAGGTACGAAAGATTTCCTGCTGTGAGTTGGGACGGTATCATGTCTTGTACCAGGAGCAGCAGTGTACATGGAACATTCATCCAGCCTGACATTGGTGGCTTTTTGTGGAGAATGAAAAGCAACTACGACCATAGTCAAGATGACATACAAGTTTTAAATTTAGGTGGTTACAATAACAGTGAACATAAATTAGGTTTAATAAGCACTTTATTTGGAAGACAAGAAATGTTTAGTGTAGGTGGCTGGGTGGTGAAGATTTCCCAGACATATAAGGCAGTTGGGGGTAAGGGCCTAGAACTTAAGTGAGATGTGATCTGTAGGGCTTTCTCTGGAATTGAAAAAGTACCTTAGGAGTCAGGCAGATGCTCTGACATCCTTGTTTCTGGAACACTGTTCCTGTTTCCACACTTTTAGAGCTGTCACTTAGCTTGAAAGCAAACTGCCTTCAGATCTTTAAAAATCAAGCACAACTGCCTTTTCAAAACTGATCACCAGAACAGCCTTAAAATCGTTTCCTGTTTTGTGCTCCCAACCTGTGATATAAGTTCTCAGAGCTTTCCTGGGCTCCTGGACAGACTCTTAGCAGTTTTGATCCCCTTAGAAAATACAGTTGAAATTGGGATCACTGGTATCTCTCAAGATGCCATGGAGAGCTGGAAGATGTAGTTGTATTTTCTTAAATCCACTGAGAATCATGGGGAGGGGGGTAGGGCTGGGCAAAGAGAACCTTTTAATTTTCGTTGGATGGATATGTTTATGTGTGTGGACACAAGGGACTTCGTCACTGGTGCCAGGATTTCCTCTGGGTCTGGTAACAGGAAGTGCTGTTCCATAGTTGTGGGCTGAGTGTGTGGTTGAGAACCCTGTATTTGGAATCTGCTTCCACACCTCCTCCTCTGACATAATTAGCCCAGAGACTTACGAGAAAACATAGACCCTCCCTCATGAGTGGGCAATTTCAAAGGGGAAGAGTGGAGCCAACCATGAACGTAAGTTTTAGAAAAAAAAATCGCAAGGGTTGACTGACATTATGATAAAACTCTAAACATAGTATGTCAGGAAGCACCAGGCAATTTCAAAGCCTCGTAACTCTGGCAAGACAAAAAAAGTAACCACAGCTACCTTCCTTTTGTTCAATACTAATAGCAGGCATGTTGAGACAGACCTTTGACTCACCAATAAAAATACTGAGCATCTTGAGAGAGAAAATATACTCCAGCAAATGAAATTGTTCTGGACAAGAAAGATTAGATAAAAAAAAATTCCCTGATGTTTAAGCAGTTAAGACTTTCTCTTAAAGTCATGCCGTTTGTAATTTAATGTCTCATTTTAAAAGATGTTTCAGATTTACTTATTTATATCCTTATTTTTTCCTTTGAATGCAGAGGAATTTAAATGTTTAAAAGATAATCTGCTTGCATTGTGCAACCGAAACACATCAGGGCTAGTTGTCTCTAGAGGAATTACTTGTTTCTCTCTAGACTCCTTAAGAACCGCAGCAGTGTCCTGGTGAGCAGTTCTGTTGCCTGTGGCAACTGTCCGCATTTCCACTGGGGGTTCTACTGATTACTGTCACCATGGGAAGAACTAGTTATAGTGACATGGGACATTTAAAGTTACAGAAGATGAGGTGAACGACACGATTTATGCAAAGGTAGTCATAAGAGGGAGGGAAAAAGTTGAAAATCAATTCTCCATGCACTGTGTCTCTGGAGCAAATATTTTTTTTGCTAAGCAATCATGGTCCTGTCCGTGAGTTCAAAGGCATCTTAGGTCCCCGAAGAGACAGTGCTGAGCTTGTGTTTGGCCCCATTAGGACAATCTACTAGAGTGCTCTAGCACAGAACTCGCCAAGGTTCCCACCCTCCCTGCCTGCCTGCCAGGTTGACGCTGGTGAGCAGGCCATTCCCCTGGAGGGTCTACTAGGCACACATTCCACTCTCCATAGATTCAGATCTGAGTACCACTTTCAAGTTTACTGAAATCTGACCAGCAAGTCACAAGCCACTGCAAAGACTTGGTAGCTTGCTTTGAGGATGGATGATTGCTATCAGACGCCAGGACAATAACAGGCAATATACAATACCCCTTGAGACTTGTCAGCTCAAAACCTTGGAAATTCTTTAAAAACGTAGTTTCCTAGTAGCATTCTCAAAACCAGCATCCACTAGCTAGAACTTATTTTATTGTATGTAAGATGCTGTTGCTAGGAATATTGTCACATGTGACCTAGTGTTCTATCCAGAACTGTACAAATAATGGCTGTCCTTGCTGTTGCAACAACTGAGCCTAAAGAAGTTGCTAGGGTGGCTAGCTAGCTAGATCTTTTGTTCTGCTGTGTCATTTACACACAGCTGTAAATGACCTGCATTTGACCTGGTAGCCAGCATTTCAACAAAATACTGTGGCTCTGTTACCTGTGTATTTCCATCTCATCCATTTGGGTTTGTACTAGTTTTATCTGGTCAAAAGTCAGGGACACTGGCTCTTAGGTAGTCTAATGGTTCAAACGTTCAATCTTCAGCTGTACTCGGTGAATCAAAAGGTCGTATGTTAATGAGCAATGGTTTGACAATTTTAGTTCAGGACAGGGTGGTTTTCTGCCATGGTCAAGCACTATTCAAGTTGCTGACCACCTTCTTTATCAACAACTGTTATTTCAAAGAAGTAAAAAAGCCTTGAAGAGGCTTGTGTGCTAATTTGACTTTTACTTGGGAAAGATCCCTGGGTGAGAGTGCATCATCAAGTCAGGAGGAGGCCATTCTGCAATGTGGGTAAAGAGCCTGAACTAGTGGCGAGGTGCATCCCCTGTAGTGGTTCCACTTAAATACTGCAGGACAGAACTCAGCCTTAGTGCTCTTTGGACCGGTGGACATAGGTTTGCTGCACCTGACCCTGACAGCAGGACACTGGTTCATGATCTTTCCCAAGTGCTCATGTATACTCCCTCCCTGTTTTGGGGATTGTGGAGACTAAATAGGGGGTGGAACTTGGGTAAGGAACAGGTGTTAGGAATTCAGCTTTGGAGATTATAACTTCAGGCTGGTCAACTACAGAAATATTGTCTAGAACAACTGATATGACATATACTACTTAAAACAAACCAAGGATCTAACAGCATTGCAGCCTTAGGTTCACAGTTAAGCCTTTCAGCAAAAGTATACCCCTGAAACTCATCTGCAGATTTTCTTGGGTGTTGAGAATTCATTTTACAATGAACATCTATTCCCCTATCTCTGGGAAACCATGCCTGATGATTTCTATATTTAGTTCTTTCTCTATGGCTATTTTCATGGCTCTTTCTCCTCAGTGTGGCGATACCTTCTTTGCACAAATAAAGTCTGTCTGAAGGTCAGAAAATGGAGCTTGCCAATAGCTAACCATAGAGGTCTGTACAGACAGACAGGAAGTGAGATAGCTGGGCAGAAACAGGAACTCGCTCTCTTGTCTGCTGAGACACTAAGGAGCTAAGATGTGCTGGTGGTTTGCTCCTTCTCTTTGATCTCGCTGGGTTTTTACTTAGACCAATTAAGAACTCCATTTACACACGAGTGTGTATGAAAATCCCTCAGAGGCCCAGCCCAGAATTTGACACTTAGGTCTCAGCTGGGATTTGACAAATTTGCATTTCTATAAACTTTCTCAGTTAGGGCAATGTGGCTGGTCTAGGGCTCATATTTTGAGATCACTGGTCTTGCACATAGATTGAGAAGTCAGTGAAGTATGGAACACTGTGCAGTGGGGAAGTTCTGTGCAGCTGCTGTCTAATGAAAAACGAATTAGGTGTGAAGTTCACTCTTTTTGCAGGATGCCTTCTACTCGTATCTACTAGTTTGCTCTTTAAGTGTTATATAAAGGGGCCACATTCCCTTTATAACATTTATTCAGACTGAAGGCGCTTCTCATAGACTTTGATCCCCCCGCCCCCACAGGGTTTCTCTATGTAACAGAACTGCCTGTCCTGGAACTCGCTCTGTAGACCTGGCTGGCCTTGAAGTCACAGAGACCCACCTGACTCTGCCTCCCAAGTGCTGGGACCAAAAGTGTGCGCCACCAACACCTTAAAATGAGAATTATCTGAAAAATTTTCAGGGAACACATTTACCTAAAACCATACCAGTTATACTTTAGCATATTTTTGTTTCCTCATTTTTATTAATGAATCACTTAAAGTTTTCTGGAATTGACAAAGACTACAAAAGAAAGAGACTGATTTCATATATAATGTGGTTCAGTTTTGATATTGAAGGAGATCATTCACCCAGAAAAGTACACTCTAGACTGTGTGAGTGGTCGTTGATTTGGGAAATGTAGGTACTCAAGAAACAAGCAGCGACCCAAGAGAGCAATGCAAGGACTGCAGAGACAGCCCATGCCCACGTGCTCTTCAGTGTCGATCAGGAACGCTGACGCTCCATCGGCAGTGTCTCGTTCAAGTAAGGAGCGCCAGGACCCATAGACAGCAACAATGTGTATCAGAAGACTAACCCTGAGGTAAAAGCCTCTCTATCAGCAGCACAATTTATTCCCATTACGTCTTTAGTATCTGGTTGTTTTCCCCGCTTATTTTTTTCTAGAAGTGGGATAAAAACAGATTACTCAAGTAAGGCAAGGTTTTCATGTAGCTGAAAGAAGTCTGGAAAGGAAGGCGACAGTGACTGGGAGATACACATGTTGCTGACATGTTATCTGTAGCACAATTCAAGTTTATTCCATTTGTTCTTGCAACACGAAATTTAAACACAATATTAGTTAGCATTCGGATGTACATGAACTAGGATACTTATGAGAAACCCAACTGTGTCAAAGGAATGACGCTGTGGAACCATGAACTCAAATATATCAAAAATGCACAAAGCACTAGTCTTCCTCCATACTGCCTAGAAAGATTGATTGTTTCTCCACTTACAAAATAGAATCAGGACAATTTAAAGTTTTAAATTTTGCATGCAAAACACTGCAATTGCTTATTTATGTAGGAGGGCACTCTTACCAGCTTCTTCTATACACAACTGAGTATACAATATCACATGAAGAAAACAGCATCTGAGCTGAAGTTAAAATAAAGTCAAGTACATAGAAACTGAAGCGCCTTTACCCAGGGAAAGAAGTGACTAGAAGGCTGCTTGTCCAAGCTCCCGCATGCTGCAGTTACTGCCTTTCTTCCGTGCCCAGCTGCTGTACACAAAGGGAGCTGGGATAGGCAAGTGCTGTGTTAGAACTCAGATCTACAGACGCCGGCAGGAAGCTGTGTGTGTGGGGTTAGGACACTAACCATCAAAAGGCAAATTACCTGTTTTGATACAGTGCATATGAAATGATGGATTTGATATAAAACTATAGAACATGCAGTTTTTTTCTGAGATGTTAAATAGTACTTCAGTGGAAAACAAAACTTAACCTTTTATTAATGCGTGTAGTACCAAAAGCAGACATTTTAGCTTCCTTTATTCAAAAATATTAACATTAAGTGTCATGAATTTCTCTGCCAAGTGGTTCAGAAATACATTATAAATAACCTAGTTTATTTTTTATTATTTATTTACTTATTTTTTTTTTAAAGAAACTGTAAACCATCCTGGTCAGTCTATCCTAGTCTATGTTTATATGCTATTTTCTCAAGCAATTGCTTCATAGCTATAGGTTTACAAAATGGCCAACAAAGGGCGGGAAGGCAAAATAGCCTCTACTGCATCACAAGGAACACAAGGATAAACTGTACAAGGAATCGTATGGTTTCAGTACCATAATGACTGTAGAAAGCAGACCCAAGTTTAGGAATGATAAGACAATATACTCTCTGCAATAGCCAACTGTAACAAAACACTTTGAAAGAAAAACTGAAAATTGTGTAAAGGGTTAAAATTCAAGCCTTTAAAATAGCAGTATGCCAAGAGGTGAAAACAAAGGTTTCAAAACACCCTGTTGCATTACATTGGTAGTAACAGACTGAGTGCCCCCACTTACTATCAGGATGTCCAACTCTACAGCTTTTTGGCCTTTTGGCTAAGATCATGTGTAGGATGTCCAACTCTAGTAGGTTTCATGAAGACAGCAGAGTTAGCCAAATATAACAAAGTATTTAAACTACTGTTTTGTGATTGTTTTCTTGGACATAGAAAAAGTACAGGGCCAGGCTAGCTGAAAGTGAAAAAGCCACAGGATAAAAAAGAGTTCATGGGAGAACACACACACACACACACACACACACACACCAACTATTAACTGATCAATAGTTATTTAGCCAGGCTGACTGTTCTTGGTAATAGTTTAACCCTGCTATAGAATGCTACACTGCCCTAAAAAAATTTAATTATCCATAATTTGAATATAAGTCCCTATCCCACCCACCCACCCTTTAAAAATTTGAGGTACATTCAATTATTGCATGACTTGGTTAAGGAAAGAGTGTAATAATTTTTGTAAGCCTGTATGGATGACAAGTTAAATGTAAGATATCAAATCTAAGGTTGTATGTTTATTCACTTTATTGTTCATGAATTAAGATTTAGAGATAAGTCTAAATTTTCTGCAGGTCCTAAGAACACCATTTTAGGGTACTGTATTCTAAGAACACAGAATGTATTGTGAAGTTGTCACATGTATGCAATGCATGATTGTTAAGAGAAACAAAACCACTATGCAGGTGGGGTGGTGTTGGCCCTACAAGAGTCAATCAGCAGCTCAGGGAACCTGGCAACAAGCAGGGTTTTGAAGGGATGAGGTTCCATCAATCCAAACAGTACATCTCACCCAAGTGATAGCTTTGGTGCACTACAAAGTCAGCATCCATGGTGGGTCTTAAGAGAGGCATTCCAAAGAATGTTCTTCATTTTCCAAATACAACTAAGGCTGATTCACTCAAGTAGCAAATGAAGAAAATCTGTAATACTAAGACAACTGTTCTCTCTTTATAAGATACTAACACGCTTATGGCTATGATTTTATTTTTAAATCTCCCTTTACTACCAGCAGGAGTCTCAAAGTGTTTCAATGTTATATAAATGTCTGAGTCTAAAGGAAGAAAAAAGAAATAAGCATACTGGAATGATTCCTCCTTTAGGCTCCTAGAATTTAACATTTTATAAATAAAACTAGTCAGTTTTATCTAAAGAGACATAAAATTCATGTGAAAGGGGAGAGAAAATCCAAAGTTTTCATCAGTCAATTTAGGGGTGCTCCACTTATCTGAGCTTTCACATAAAGATTAAAGTCATTCAAGATTTTGGTCACTAACCATAGGCAGCGCTCTTACCTAGCCAGGAACCCCCAGGAGAGTGCATTCTTAAGGCAGAAGGCTGTAGCTAATTGCTTAACTCAGCACCCTAAGTTGACATAACAGCAGCCACTACTGCGCACAGCTATTGCTGCCCAGTAAGTAGAGTTGGTCTTGTATAGTCAGACCTTCAACACACTAATAATATATTAACTCGGGAGCTGAGAAGGTTCAAGGACTCCCATACACCATTTTTGCTCTCCCTTGGGGATAAGCTGTCTATTTTACTAGAAATGGACAAGAGGCTGGTTTGATCAGGAATCCCAGTAAAAGCCCGATCACATTCCCCACTGCTCCTCCAAAACATGTTTCCCCCCCTTGGTAGTCGGCTTTGTTATGAATTTCTCTCTCCCCTCACCCCTCTTAAAGTATTTAGCTGAAGAAGCTGGCAGATAGAAAGTGACAGACAGACAGGCAGCAGTGTGAGGCCACAGGAGAGTCATTCTTCCCAAATTATCAGTCCATCCATCCATCCATTACTGCAGAAGAGCTTTGATGGCCTGGTTGTCAGTGGCTTCAAGGGCAGTCAGTCCATCTGGGCCTTTCACAGTCTTATCAGCACCCTGGAAAAAGAGAGAACCTTCATCAGAGAACAGTGAGTGCCAGAGGTGGCACAGGCCTTTCATACTCAGATCCCCGGGACCCTTGGTGGAAGGAGGGAACCAACTCTGGAAAGTTGTCCTCTGTCCTTCATACTGTGCTATGACACGCACATGCCCACACCAACATACATACAGTAATAAGAGAAAAATTCAAAATGCATTATTATTTTTCAGGTATTAGAAATTATATGAAACAAAACAACTGTCTTGGGTACTGTTCTGTTGCTGTGAAGAAACACCATGACCAAGGTGTTTCTTAGAAGCATTTAATTGGAGGCTGGCTCACAGTTTCAGAGAGCGTGTCCATGACCATCATGGTGGGCAGCAATGGTAGCAGGCAGACACTATTAGAGCAGCAGATCCATAAGGCCCAAATAGACAGTGAGAAACTCTGAACAATGTACGCTTTGGAAACTTCAAAACCCAACTGCGGTGATACATCTCTTTCAACAAGGCCACACCTCTTAATCCTTCCCAGAACAGTTTCATCAACAAGGGACCAAGCATACGGGGGACATTCTCATTTAAACCACCACAACTCAGCACCAGAATTGAAAACAGTGGGTCAACTTTTACTTATCACATTTATCCAATTAACCAAGTTTTAACCAATAATATATCCCTTGGCTTCTGGGGAAGGGAGATTGAGGCTTTTTTTTTTTTTTAATAAAGGGCATGGCTCTGGTAGGCCAGCTACTTTCCAGTAGATGACCTTATATCTAGGAATATATGGTCAGCATTCTGTGGGATGAACACCCCCCCCCCCCGAGAGGAACTAGGGGGAAGACAGAGGGAGGACAGGGGGTGACCACAGGGAGCTGGAGCTCACTTAACTGTGGCTTCACATAGATCAAACACCTGAAAGATCCCTGCTCCTCAAAGTCCCAAGCTACCCAGCTTCCATTTCTCAGGCTCTCAATAAATTCTCCCACCATCCCAACAGCTTTTCAAAAATTTCCTCAGTGAATTTCTATTATGCCAACATTTAGCTGACAAAATACTTAAAATTCTATAAGCCAGATACAACTAATGTTAGTGTTTTAGATGAAATTAAAAGACTATTTCTACAATAGCATAAAAAAAGAGAGAGAGAACCAATTTGTCAACATGGTGAGAATATTGAGTGCTTTTTTTAAAGACTAAAGAAGTTACTAGAGAACTTGGGTATATCTGCCCCATCCCTTTCTTTAGGAAACAAGCCATTTTTGTACATTCATTTTTAGTTATGTGACAATTTTCATAGCTTTAGATAATATATTCCTGCTACTATTTGAGTTACTAGCTTTAGATTTTATCTTTTGATTTCCTGCTACAGAGATGAGTCTTAGCTTTATCAACACCCTCTTCCTTCCTCAGACTCCCACTTTCTTATACTTAATGCATCATTTTGTTGCTTCGAAAATATCAAGTTATTTGAATCTAGGTTTTGTCATACATTTTGATGGTGTATCATTCCCTATAAAGTAGTAGTATTAGAATCCCTCCTGTCATTCTCCCTGGGGATCTTTTAATTTGCCAAATGTTGTGTGCTTTAGGATTAACTTTTATATTCTAGTCTGTAAAGCCTGTGAGTATGTTGACTCTCAAGGTTAAAATGTACTAGCAATGTTTAATTGTTCGAGGTAAGTACTGCTTACTGTGGTACTTAACAACTACTGCGCAGCCCTCACAAACAGACGGAGCTGTAAAGGCTGCAGTACCGTGCTAGCAGCCTGACGATTCTTATTTGTTCATTTTCAAACAGCACAGTTTTCACCCTTTATACGAATGTTGTTATGGTAAACTGGTAAAAAATAAAGTGAAGACAAAATAAAATAGCCTCAGTTTCTCTTCCTAAAAGGAAGAGGAAAAATAGACAAAGCACACAGCTGGCAACTGACCTAAACTGCCCTAAAATTACTTTGGAATTAAGGTAGTACTGGTCTCTAAATTCTGAGTTCTCTGGGTGTTAACGTATCTGAGCAGTGAGGACAGTCAAAATCCTAAATCAATATGCCCACTTTCAAGACAGGATCTCTGCATTCTCTGCTGTTTGGCTTGCTCCTCCTCCTCCTTGCTCAGCTCCTTCACCCATTCATTATAGATCTGCAACACTCGATCAGGGCAACCTTTATCCCCATGTTGAACAACACATCCTAAAACAAGCCTGTAGCCTCCCCCTACACAGTCACTTCTTTTCAGTGTTCTCTCTCATGGCAAAAAACTTACCGAGGGATGTGAGCACACTAGGAAGTTTTCCTTGTTGACTTTCCACCTAAGCAGTAAGCAGTCACTAAGTCTGCACTATCTTAATATCTCCCAACTACCTTCTTTACTGCTATCCTTGTTTTCAGGTCCTCTCACCATTTAGAAGCAATAATTTCCTATTTGGTTTTACTTCTTTATCATGCAGTATACAGTTCAGGCTACTCACATCTATGTGGGTGATCTTTCTCAAACACAATGCAGACAATTCTCTTCACCTTCTGAAGAGTTTTGTTTTTTGTTTTTGTTTTTGTTTTGGTTTTGGTTTTTGCAAGACAGGGTTTCTCTGTATTGTTTTGGAGGCTATCGGTCCAGCCTGGCCTCGAACTCACAGAGATCCCCCTGCCTCTGCCTCCCGAGTGCTGGGATTAAAGGCGTGCGCCACCACCGCCCGGCCTGAAGAGTTTTTATAGTGGCATCTCAAATAGTAATGGAAACAAATAACAAAAAGCCACAAGCAAGCTCCTTACTACCTGCTTACTTTGCCAACTTGACACATTTAGAGTCACCTGGGAAGAGGGAACGTAACTGCCTGGACCAGACTGCCTGTGGTGATGTCTGAGAGATTATCTTGACCGATGTGGGTGGCATCAGCCTTAGGCTGATGGGACCTTAGAAGTATAAGAAAGCTAGTTGAGCCTGAGTTAGATACAGTCAGAAAGCAGTGTCCCTCCCTCCACAGGCTCTGCTTCAGCTCCTGCTTTTGAGCCTGCCCTGACATCTTGATGACGGTTGAATCAACATTTCCTCCCCTAAGTTGCTTCTGGTCTATGTTGACCTTGAGAGTCAACATACTCCCAGGTTTTACAGACTGGAATATAAAAGTTAATCCTAAAGTACACAAAATGACCACAGTCAGAAAGCAAGAAAGCAAACTAGAACAAAACCCATCTCTTATTTCTTGCTAAATATTAGTTAGTCCATACTGTAGCTTCTAGAAAACCTATTGTGTCTCCTGGTGTACCTTCTGCCCTGAATGCCAGCTCAGTTCCCTTCTAGACTCCTAAGACACGGTCAAAGCTCCCCAGCTCCTGCTGGCCGCCCTAAGCCTTGTTGGTGGGACATGGCTGTAATGCTACCCGTTACTACACCAGCCTTCCTTGGACTCCAGAGCAGGCTTGCCTTCTTGGTCACATTAGCACTTGCCCAAGCAGTCAATCAAAGCATTGCCATCAACACTGGCTGCTCTACGTACCTGTCTTTCTTTATGCCTGCCCTCCACATCTACCTTGAACCTTAAGCCTCACCCTCCCACCCATTTGTCGGCTTTGAAATTTATCTACACCAAGCTTCACAAACATCTCAAATTCAACATCTCCTAAAATCAATCTACATGCTTTCTTACAAATGCATTCCTTTACCACAGTAAATATGCTGATAGTCTTTGTGTTCCCAAGGCCCCAAATAGGATCATGTTGATGATGATGAATCTTCAAAGAATGTTTAATCATGCTATATATACTTTGCCTAAGAAACACATATCCTCAAGACATTTTATACCCAAATAATTAAAGGTTTTTTTAACATTACAAAGGCACTTTCTTTTCCTTTTTCTTCTTCCTTAGTACTTGTTACTATCTGAAATTAAAATTTCTGCCTTTCAAAAATGAGGTCTGTAGGGTCTGAGGATGCACTCACTTTGTTCTCCTATATAAATCTAACGGAAAAGTTTATTTTCCTTTATTTGATATTAAATATCCCACCAACTGAAAAATGAGAAGGACCAAAAAATTGTTTGTCTCTACTCACTTAACTCCTATCCAGTTGTCACAGTCTATGAAGTCTTTCTAAACATCCCAGGCAGCTGGCTCCTGCTCCTGTTTGACCATGGCTTGCTGTCTATCATACTGAGTTGAACACTATCTCCTGGCTCTCTTGAAGGCCAGTAAAAACTCAATCTCTGTTTTTTCTTCACACACAGAGGTTGAAAAGAAATGGAATCCTCAGGCTACATACAGTTTCTCTCATGCATCACTTTCTTTTTTCAGTAAAAGCTCAGAACAACATTCTCACCTCCTTCCTCTTCTTCCTTTCTAAACACAGATAATCCCTGCAGGAGCAATACTCATTCTGTAACCATGAAGACCACAGGGCTGGGTACAGAAGGTGGGCTGATGATAAGTATATATAGTAGAGGCAGAGGCTCAGCCTTGGACTGTAACCATTAGGCAGCTTATTTTGAGACATGTAGAGTCCTGTAATAGGGGGTTCCGTTACTCACAACTGAGTCCTACTCCTCTTATTACTCACTGGAGTCACAGAACTGGCCTAGGCTGCATTCCATTATTGACAGGGTCCTTCTGTAGTCATCTTTGTAACCTGATAGCCAGGGCAGTGCCTCACATTCACTAATGCTTACTACATATTGGTTTAATGAAACAATTATGCCTGTCTCATGATGTAACCGCTTACTCTGCACCTTTGCTGGATATATGCTCAGTTGTATCAGTCTTGTACTGTAGTGAACATCTGCACCCAACTCCCCTTCCCTACTCTGCATCCCATCTAAGCATATGCCACCATTTCCCACTGTATGAGGATACTTTTAACTGTTTGGATGTATATTCAAATGTTACTGTTGCCAAGGATCTTACAGATACTGTTCCATTTTGGAGACTACTAAAAATGGATTTGGTATTTAGTGACATTAAAAACTATCCAAATACATAAATTACATGCATCGTAAAATTTTATTTACTGGTACAGGACTTGATAGC